ACACACACACACACACACACACCCCTCATATAGCAAGAGCAGGGTGTAGAGCTGAAAGTCAGGAGGTGGTAGGGGCATCCAAGTTACATGCTAACCGCCTTTTCATGTGTGCACGGATGCCCATGAAGGAATGATGCCTGGTGACTGGCAGACAGCAAATGCTCAGCAAGGTACACTGCTCCCTTTCCCTCATCGGCACAGAATTTATTTCTCTGACCTTGGCACTTACTATAAATCCTCACATTTCGCCCTAGGAGTGGTCAAGCTGCTTAGAAATGAATGACTAGAAACTTAGAATCGCTCCTCGAGGGTACTTACTTCATCACAGGCTGGGGTGTACCTCAGGGGTGCAGCACTCGCTCTGTGTAATGTCCTGGCTTTCATCCATCACACTGCCAAAAACACCAAATGAAATAGAAAAAGATGATTACTCTTGGCTACAGCTATCGATTCTTGGGCAAAAAAAGCTTAGGGCCCTGTTCTTGCTGTGGGATGCTAAGGCCTGGGGACCCTAAGAGAGTTTCTCTCTCTCTCTCTCTCTCTCTCTCTCTCTCTCTCTCTCTCTCTCTCTCTCTAAGTGGACAGTGAGTAGTGAGTGTCAGTTGACTGATCAAATGAACAAATACCAGGTAACTATAGTGCAGAGTCAATTGTTTTAAGTGCCTCAGGAGAATGTCTACTTTAAAAATATGTATCAAGGCCTCTGCTTCTGCTGCTTCTGTGTTGCGTTCTCCCCCTAATCATTGACGGGCTTCCCAGTGTCCAGTATCAATGCGTTTCGTAATCACATTCTACACATTCTAGAAACACTCAAATCCATCACTTTTAACAAAGCTTATTTTTTTAAAATAATGTGTGTATGTTTGTGTCTGTGTTTGCATCTGTGCACGTGCATGCAGTGCTGGTGGAGGCCAGTAGAGGGAGCTACTCCCAGGAGCTGGAGTTACACATCCTTTGAGTTGCTAGAGGGTACAGCAACACAAACTTTTACCTCTTCCATCTATCCAGCCCCCTACCCCCCCCCCTTCTCCCTCTCTCCTGTGTTGTCTAGGGTACCATTTCTTGCCTGGGTTGTTCATACCCTCCTAACATCTTTCTCCTTTGTTGTGACATAGTTCTTTCTATAGCACTGACCTGTGCATTTGACATCTTGGCTGAGAGCCTTTAAGTAGCTTCTCTTACATCGGTTTCCAGTTTAAACTTTCTGTCTTGACCCTCAGACCTACTGCAATATAACCAACCTATGTTTCCCACTGTACCTGGGTCTTTCCACTTGCAGCGTAGCATGGCCATTTCTGTCTCCTTTCCTTGAGGGCGTGGGGTGTCAGAAGCATTCTCAATACTTGATAACATGCTTAGGGTATAGGCAGTACTCAGCCATGCTGGCTGTATGTCTGGGATTGGATAAATGGCCATTTGTCTCGGGTCTTGAAGTGCTGGTAGAAATAGAACATGGTAAATTCAGGAAACACATCCTAGATAAGATAGATGAAAAATTACAGTAGCCACCAGGCAGTAAGCATTGTCTTGTTCTAAACACTTAACACACATTATCTTTACATTCTGGGAGGGATACAGTTACTTTGGGGTGATTGACAAGGACTGGAGTTCTTCCAATGTGGGTATGAAGGGCCAACCTTTCCTCTTTTCTGATGTTATGCCTTCTGTTCCAAATTTATGCAAAATCCATCCAGATGGTAAATCAAGGGCCTCCTCTGAAGCCAGAGAGGAGCAGACAGTAAATCACGGATCTCCATGGGAGGCAAAGAGTAGTGAGGTACCTAATGTTTTTGAAGCTGAACTCTGGAGTGGCTGGTCTGCAATAAACATCCGTGAACCGTTTTGTAACCTTTACCCCAGCCGTGGTAAAGGTTACAAAATTCTGTGAAGGGAATTCTGTGAAGAGCTTTGGTGCGTGTATAATATAGGACTAAGTAGGCAGAGTCCAGTAGGAAGACAGGCCATGGAGTATTGTACAAAACCCTTCAGCCTTGACCTGCCTCTTAAGCATCGTGATAGGAAGCAGCCTGTGGCTCTGAGTTAGGTTAGAGAAATGGATGACTGGATTCTTGGATTGGCTTTAGGCATTTTAGGATCAGATGAGGATTAGGGGTGTGTGTGTGTGTGTGTGTGTGTGTGTGTGTGTGTGTGTGTAAAATGAACTCACTGACAAGAGGTTGTAGATTTAAGGGTTAACAGTCTGGTGGTCAAGGGTACATGTACAGACTGAGCTTAACTGCTGAGTCAGCACTTTGTGAGTTTGGGTGAGTTTCTTACATCACTGAGCCTCTATTTCCTCACCTATGACATGGCTACAATGACTGAGCCTACTCTAGAGAGGTAAGAGAAATAAAGGAGACAATTCTTGTGAGTTATCATACGGTTCATAGTAAGCATTCAGTGAGCGTTTGTAAAGGTAGGGAGGCCACATTTAGTCCACGGGGCAGCCGTATACATGATCAGAAGGACCAGCTGGCAAATGCATGCATGATTTAGCACAGTAAGGTCAGGCAAAAGAAGGACAAAGGCTGGAATGTCACATCCAGAATGACACTTGGGAGGAAGTGCTTCCCAGTGTCTGAGCCTGCCTGGGTCAGGTCCCAACCTGTGGACACTTTGGCCCCTGCCCCTTGTTGTCTGTATTGGTTGCCCAGCAACGCTTGACTTCTAGCTCTTTGTCTTCGCAGTTCCACCTAAATTGGCTTGACCAGTCATAGAAAGAAAGTCTGGTCAAATTTGAGAACGGTGTTGAACCAGAAGGAAGCGCTAGTAAAAGAGATGTCTTAGTCAGGATTACTATTGTTTTGATGAAACACAATGACCAAAAGCAACCTGGGTAGGAAAGGGTTTATTTTGCTTCTATTTCCATTTCACAGTCCATCATCTAAGGGAGGCAGGACAGGAACTCAAGCAGGGCAGGAACCTGGAGGCAGGAGCTGACGCAGAGGGCATGGAGGGATGTTGCTCATTGGCTTGCTCCTCATGGGTTGCTCAGCCTGCTTTATTATAGAAACAGGACCACCAGCCCAGGGATGGCCCCACCCACAGTGGGACAGGTCTTCCCCCATCAATCACTGATTATGCCTGAAGCTTGCCTACTGCCTGATCATATGGAAACATTGTCTCACCTGAGATGTCCTCCTCTCAGATGACTATATGTGTCAAGTTGACATAAAAAGT